CTAGCCTAACGAAGCTTCAATTTCTTCAATTAATGCAAAAACTTAACCAATCCTCTAAGATTTTAAACCCAAATTCCATAACTTCCATTCAAACCCATTTTGCAAATTTCAACCCTCACAATCTTCAATTCTTGTTTTCAATCTCATATAGACTATGTAATGATCAATTGTATATCATGGATGAATGACAAGTAATTGATATGATGCATTTATATATATATATATATATATATATATATGAGTGATATATAGATTTAGAGTGAAGGAAAGCAAGAGAGATGGCGGATGATATGCAAAAATGAGGCCTGAGGCTTGTTTTAAAAACCACAATCCGTGCTCTTGAACCGGTTCAGCCTTCTTGTACCAGTTCAAAAAGGGCAGTGCACTTTAGTGCACATGACTTGAACCGGTTCCACAATCTTGAACCGGTTCAAGATGGTTAGTCACATGCTTATGGCCAAATGACATACTTGAACCAGTAGGGGATTTTGGGGACCGGTAGGAACATGACAGTATGTCATTCTAACTTGAAATTTTGCCAGAAATTTCCATTGGACTTTTGAATACACTCAATGATCAATTCAACACCAAAAAAAACTATAAGCTAAAAACAAAAATCTTTTTGAATTTTTTTTCAGTTTTTTTATTTTATTTTTTATTTTTATTTTTTTTTTCATTTTTAAAATAAAATAAAACAGACCAAATCATTGAGTAATATAACCAAAAATTTTCAAGTTCATACCTGATCCAATTTCCCAGAGAATTATAGAGCTATCTATGAACAAAATCTTGACACCACAGATTAGTCAGTCAATTTCACTTCTAGGAAGTAATCACAACATGAATTTGCACTTGCAAATATTAATGAAACAGTTAAAAATCAATCTAGCAAGTTCAAGTGTGTGTGTGCAATCCATCTCCTCAATTTCCAATCAATTATCAATAAAACATTGTCTAAACTATATTGATCGAAAAACATCAAGATAAAATTGTCTTTGAGCAATTTTTCTAAGTTATGTGGCTTTCACTCTAAAGAGAAGACTTCAATTCCCCAATTTAACTTGTCTCCACCTTTCTTTTTACTCATTTAGCTCATCTTCAAAGTCTAATGGGAGCTTTCGAACACATCTCAATAGGTAGCCTTTTCCTAAACAGAGAATTCAACAATTTTTTTTCCTTTTTCTTTTCGATTTTTTTTCATTTTGTTTTTAAAGCTCCTATTTTTTTTTTTTAAACAATAACCTTTATAACTTTTGTGATCAATACACCCTAGTCAACAAATTAAAGATTTTCAATCAAATTTTTCAGATTTGGACTAGTGCACAACGGTTATGAACTTAAGAGATTAAAATCTAAATATCCCTTAATCAATGCAAATGAACTTTCATTGTATAGATTACAAGCCAAGAATCTATTTTTAATTAAAAATCATGTGTCCAAATTTGCATTCAAGATAAATCATTAATTCAATGAAAGAATTTTCACAGATATTTCATGAAAACTTTGATCAGAAACTCAATTCTAAACTAAATCTTAGCTAGTGATCCAATGGCAACAAAAATTTTTATAAAAAAACAAGCCATGATCACTGAAATTCATAGGACTTAGTTTGAATGTGAAGTCCTTTTGGAAATTTGTTCCAAGGACTCAACAAGCACATACTTAATCAAATCAGATTTTTTAATCCAAATAGTTCTCACTCTCAACTCTTGAAATTCTTTAACATCCTTTACCTCTTTCTTAGGCAAATTATCAGATTTATAAAACTTAGGTGACACATTCTTTTTTTTCCTAGAACACCCCTTTTTCTTAGCATAAGAATTCTGAGAATGAATTTTAGAAAAGTCTTTCTTTTTCCTATGAAGGCATGAGTTATACTTATGTCCATTTTTCCCACAAAACGTGCAATGTAACAATTTAGGCACATAAGACATAGCAGAATGTGATGTAATAGGCAAACATGGTTTAGGCATAATAGCAGGTTCAACAAACATTGTTTTACTTTGATTACCAGGAGAAACTTTAATAAATTCTAACCCTGTTTTATCATTCACATCCTTACCCATGTTGATTATCTTATTCAAATTGTTTTGATTCATATTGAACCATTTCAGTTTATCTCTTTCAGATTTCAACTCAATCTCAAGATAATCAGTTTTCAAAGCAAGACATTCCTTTAATGAGTTAGCAACACTTACCTTATCCTCAAGAATGATGATCTGTTTCTCAAACTCAATGATGACTATCTCTCTTTCAACAGCCTTCTATTGGCATTCAGCAATCTGTTTCTCAAGATCTTTATTCTCTCATTTTGCTTGGATAAGCTCCTTTGCTAGCTTATTAATTGCTTGTTTGGTTTCAATGGTTTCTTTGACCATCTTCTTCAATCTTTCATCGTCCTTTTCAGCTTCTTCAATCTGTTCATGATAAACTTCATTCTCTTCGTTATCTGAATTGTCAGAGTCAGATAAATGAACGACATGAGGACCCCTATCAAGAAAAACGACATATGAACGATCATTAGTATCATCCTGAGGAGAATTACCATCACTTAAAGTAGAATTTTCAACCATAGAAACTTGCATTGTTTTTCCTTTATTCCTATCCTTTTGTTCTTTCCATGGACTAGGACAAACATTGGCTGCATGACCTTTGCCACCACAATTCCAGCATGTAAATTCCATTTCTTTTGATTCTTCTACTTTCTTTTCATTAAATTTAAACTTTGACGTTTTGTCAAAATTTTGGGAATTAGCCTTGTTGCTATTCCTTCTCCTCTATTGTCTTTGAAAAATCTGACTGAATTGCCTTGACAAGAATGCAATATCATCATCAGAGTCATCATTCATAGAATTCTCAACCTGTGTAGATTTTAAAGCAAGATTTTTCTCCTTCTGATTTAAATCAAAATTCTGCATCTCAAAAGTTTTTAGTGAACCTACCATCTCATCAACTCTACAAGTAGTCAAATCCCAATGTTTAGAGATGATTTCAACCCTAATATGAAATCTCTTAGGTAAAGACCTTAAGATTTTTTCACAGATTTTTTTATCACTAACTTTTTTCCCTAAGTGACGCAGTTCAGAGATTATTTCAAGAAGATTAGAATAAAAGTCAGAAAAGGATTCATCTTCTTTCATCACGATGTTACCAAATTTATGAGAGAGCAACTGAATTTTGGACAACTTCACTTTTGAAGTTCCTTCATGAGTAACCTGCAAAATATCCCAAGCTTCTTTAGCAGTTTTACAATCAGAAATTCTAGCATATTCAAATGGAACAATAGAATTAATAATTGAATATAAAGCTTTGCCATTAGCATCATTACGTTAAGTTTCAATAGCAGTAAAAGCAAAAGTATCTTTTAACTCTTTGACTATTTTACCATCCACAGTTGTATCTACTGTAGGAGGTGTATAGCCAGATTCAACTATTGCCTAAGTTTTACTACCAGAATTTTGCAAATAGGCTCTCATCTTTGATTTCCAAAAATTGTAATTATCTCCTTCAAATAAGGGACCATGCTTATTAAAACCGCCTTCTTTCAACGCATAAGACATGATTAAAACAATTTTTGAACACAAAACAAAACTTTCCAACAAGGATCAACTCAATGTATAGAGGATGGCTCTGATACCAAATTATGAGTCGTACGCAGCGGAATGTATATAGAAAAGTTTTTGTTTGTTTTTATAAAACAGATATGTGTCCTTACTTTACTTATTTTATGTTTTAGCAATTAAACAGTTAATTACATGCAGATAAAATAAAGCAAAGTATAAAGTTAGAGATGACACTAGGATTTTAGCGAGGAAACCCCAGTTGATAAAATACGTCAACTGTGGGAAAAATCTCGTGGACTTGTGTAGTCCAAAGTAAACCAATCCACTATACTTGGAACAAAGTATACTAAACTTTGACTCTGACTCACACCCTATCGTTTTACACCACACCAATCGTTGACGATCCTCTGGCTTTGCGATTCCTCGTCCAATAGCAACTTGATCTCAGACTGACACTTGATATTTGTAGAAGAGTAGCAGGTATATCAGACAGCACTCCACGAATGCTCCAATCTTTCCAAAGTGTAACTGCATTTACTTCTGTTCTTCAATCGTCTGAATGATGTAGAAGAAGATCTGCTTCGTCTGATCGATGTTGATACAACTGTATGATCACGATCAGGATACGAACACCACAACTCTAACCTATCTAGGAGAATATGTGTATGTGTTCTAGAAAGATATCAGAACAATCAACTCTGATTTTCTGCACAAATAATCTTCCTAAGGTTTTGAGTAATATCTGAATTAGAATGTAAAAGCCGTATCTAAACTAATGTATATGACATGGTTTATATAGATTCTAGAATGACCTAATCCCTCTGAAAATAAGGTAAATTTCGTGCATATGATTTGGTACAATTCTAGACCAACTGGGAAATAAATCAGAATAAGGAAACTGCAGTTGTATTGCATATAGGACATCTTGAACCGGTTCAAGGAAAGCTGAACCAGTTCAAGTTTGGCAGTGTGTCAAACTTGAACATCTTGAACCGATTCAAGGAAGCTGAATCGGTCCAAAGTTGGCAGACTTGTGGATTTCGAATTCCTTCAGCCTTGGTTCATTCTACGGAAATTGTAGTCTAACATGGAACGTGTAGAATGTTCAACCTCGTTCATATTCCTTCTTAATGTAGTGTTCTTACCCTTTTCATCACAAACTCTTCAAGTATGGTAAGTCTGAACTCCTTCCCAATTGTGTAATTCCTATTGACCCCGATGACTTGTAGGACAAGTAATATAATTTTACAACTCAACTTAGACTTGTTATGTCTATGATAATTGCCAATACATAAATAATATCTCACAGTTATAATTCAAAATGGTAGATGGATCGATAAAATGCAAACATGTATAGACACTGTATAAATGAAGATCTCTGTTAATTGTACCTACATGTTTGGCCCTTGAGAGTAGTGCAAATTCAAACTCTTTTGTAACACTGCATTAATCAATTAAATAACCCAGCCAGTTTATTTAAATGGAAAATAACATAAGTCCAAAAGTTCATTTCATCTGTTGATTTTTACATAGTAAATAAAAAAAGAATCCTTTATACATTATAAGAAATCGCTATACTAGTATTTACAGAAAAAAAAAAAAAAAAAAAATTAAAAATTAAAAATTCTTGTCTAAATCATTTCAATCTCATTACCAGAAGGTGGAGCACTCCCTAGAATTATGGTTTGCTGGGGGCCCATTCTCCTTTTCAACAGATAGAGTAAAAAACAGATGATGGAAATGGCTGCGTAGATTATAAAGAGGCCCAAGAAGTCCTCAATGCACAAGCTATCCTTTTCTTCGGTAGTTGACTTCATACACTCTGAGGAGGGAGTATACAACTTTTTCTCTAATTCTTTTATCTTCCCTGTTTCTGATAGTTTTAGAATGGCTTTTTGGAAACGTTATGAGCTAATGTAGAATTATCTTTTTGAAAGACCTGCACAGAAATCATCAACAATAATTTAATTACCATTACTCATCCCAACATTATATATATATTTCTTATTTGGGATTGTCAAATAATAGAATTAGCTAGTGGTTAATGTCAAGATATATATAACTAAGTTGAAAATGGTGTTCAAATTCTGAGCTAAAAAAAAATGTCTGCAGTATGTTTTTTTTTTTTTTTTTTTTTTTTAAGTGTGGCAATTAACTTAGAGATATTAGAAAATGAAATAAGTGCAAAGAGTTCCATTCACTCACGAAGCCGAATCCTCCAAATTTTCTGGTGAATGATCCATCGCCATACTCGTACTGCTTGCAGCGTTGGTTGACAAAAACTTTGGCATAAGGAACTTCAAGAACTGCTGCTTGAATCGTGCCATTCTTGAATGCAGTCTGGAACTCGCTTTCGCTGCTGATGTCGATGATGTTCCCTGGTTCAAAATGCTCATCATCCTCCAAGTACTTCCTAACAAATGTAGCACCATCGCACCCCACTGTTGCATTTGTCCTCTTTAGCTCCTCGATATCTGGCACAGTTGTCCGGAGTCGTGAGACGGTGAGCATTGAAGTGAGGCTGGCAGAGTAGCTTTCTATTAAGATCAACACCACAAAAAGCCACGCCACGATCACGGTTCGAGTATAGTTGCTTTTAATCTTCTCCCCTTCAAAATAAAAAATAAAGTTGTATCCATATATCAGTGCATTTCTAGATCACAAGCTGCTTTAATTCCAATACGTGCAATTGCAGGTATATCTCATATTTTATGCTAGGCCCTATTCAAATATCCAGTAGGATATTTATGTTCTTAATTCTTAAATCAGAACAATCTTTGCCTCCTCAAAGTTTCTTCCCACCATCGATGTGGCGCTCACAATTAGAGAATGATACGCGTCCATTTTAATTAAAATTATATATATAAAAAGCATTTAGTATAAATTGGTCCTCATGACCTTGCCTCCAAAAAGTCTCATAGTGGGCATTTGTGACTATGTGAGAGAGAATTTACCAAACTAAAAAGAAAAAAGAAAAAATCCTTGCCTCCAAATCAAAGCATAAATAAAATGGTAATGTTTTAACTTGATAATATACTTACTGTGAGCAAAGAACAGAGTAGAGAAGGTGAACCAAAGCACATTGCCAAGTTGTTCCTTCCATTGGCCACTAATTAATTCTTGATTGGAACTTTTCTCCAAGAACCAAACTATGAACATTGTGTAGAAGAAGATGGCCACCGTCACCACCCACATGGCACTAGTGAAGGGCTTCAGAAACAACCATGCTTTCGAAGCTTTCTTCACTGGAACTACTATCAGCAAACCTGACTCGATAAAAGGTACTGTAAATGCCACTTGATCCCACCGCTCAATTGTTATCGTTATGTCACCAACAGCAGCATCAAAAGTCTTACATCAATTTTTATCCACCAGTAAAAAGCAAACATCTTTATCAGTAACACATACATATTGAAATTAAATGGCTAATTAAAATATTGACAAATGTTTGAAAATGATCAAGAGATTAATTAGGTGATGTGTGATTACCTTGTTATGAACAGATTCAACCAAATCATCGTAGTTGCCATTGTAGACGTGAAATTGATCAGGAGAGGGTAGATCTTTAATATTATAATCTTCATCCAAAATTGTTTTTACCTCATTATAAACATCGATACAAAAACCCGTGGTCTCATTCAATTTTGCATCGAGGAACTTCTTAAAAGAGACTCTACCCGGAACTCTAATATTCAATATTGGTTTTACATAATCATCAGTTAGTATCAACTCTTCTCTCAGGATTCTCTTTTGGTCCCCAGGCCATTTCACCTCCGTGAAATCACCCAATTCTTTCATGGAACTATGGTTATCTGAGAACCCCAACTCTGATGACCTTCCCCGATTGGCAATGTTCACCATACTTAATTTTTGGGAGCTTGATAGTCTTCCCTCTTCAAAACGCACTTCACCGGTTAAACCAGTGAAGTTGCTTGATAAAAAACTATCCCTCAAGATTCCTGAGGAACTCATTTTACCAGCTGAATAATATTTCACCATCGCCTGTGTAATAGTCATAATGCTATCATAAGCTCGTAGCGCATGAATTCCAGGCTCACTACTGTTATCTTCTTCAGGATAATCTAACTGGAAATTTTGCTGAAACTGCTCAAGAAACTCTCTGAAAGAATTACTGTTTTCAGTAACCATTTGCGTAAAGATAGGCCGCCATCGAAGCCACACCAATGCTGGTGTATGTGGAGCAGTCGCAAATGAGAGAACTGAAACTTGAGTTCGGCTTCCGATGTCTGCCGCTAAACCTGCTTCCTCCCATATCTCCATGCCGATAATTACTTGGACTTGCTTCTCCTTAATCAGCTCTTCAGCTGCATCAAACATATATTAAACACCTTCTTGAAAAGAAAACAAAAAAAAATCTAATTAAGAAATAATATTAAATAGATACTTTCATCATTTCATGTAATTGAGTAATTCCACATATTCATGTGGTTGTTTCCCTCTTTCGTGTTTTGAACTGAATTATTTGCCTTGAGTAAATTTTTTTAATTTTTACTTTATATATATATAAATCTCCAGGTTGGGCTGGAGAATCAAGGCCCAACGGGCCCAAAAGAAGAACGTACGACATGGCACAAAGCCTTAAACAGCTAATTGAAGTCCATTCGAATCACTGTTCAAGATATTTCATTTTGTTTGACTTGATCATGCTGGGCAACCCTCCACCACAAAGGCCAGAGAGAGAGACATGATCATTCGTCGCTTAGCAGCAATACAGAGCCAGTCCGGTGGTGTTAGTGGAGGACGAGAGACTTGAGAGTCCTTCCTCCCATTCCCGCAAGGCGAGGTAGGCTTCCATTCGAGAAAGCAGAGCATTTGATTAGAGTCTCCCTCGAATTCCTATTATTAATTGTTATACTTAGATTATAATTAGCGACTATATGGCAATATGCACAGGAAAGTAAAAAATGTATGTAATCATGTCTAATGGATCACGCACACACACACACACACACACACACACACACATATATATATATATATATATATCTATGCATATGTTCATGTATCATGACTTAATTAGAAGAGAAGAGAAAATTTCACAAAAGGAGAAGAAGATAAGTAACTTACCGACATGAGCTGATCGGAAACGAAGAGAGAGCTTGTGAAGCTCCGACTTGTTGTTGAAGTCGTAAAGAGCTATTTTCATGGCTATTTTTTGCTCTTTGCCGATGCGAGAATCAACATCAATGATAGCACCGATGTGTAGAGTTACTTTGTCAGCTTCAGCAATGGACCCATGAGAGAGAAAAAGAAGAAAGGAGATGAAGACATGGAATAACAAAAAAGTTAGTTTAAAAGTAACAATATTAAAGTTGGAGATGAGTACTAGGAATGTCATATTTTGGCTTTAAATTATGTAGTGATTAAGCTCATACCGTTATTCCCAATATATAATATGTTTATATGCATGTATAAACCACTATTAGATAGAGATGGTCGATCCAAGCATAGGACTTATTCTACATGGGTTTAAAAGTCGCTCCACACGTGTGGAAATTAGTCAAATAAAGATCGGGTCTCACTTAATTTAATTTGGAAAATTAAAATTACCCTTTTATAGTATATACAGCTGAGAAATTGATTCAGAATATTATAGAAAACACAATTGGAATATGTATAACCAATCAAAAAAATCATTTCTGTTCTTTATTTAATTGTGACTGCAACAAACTTGTTAACGTGCCAACTCGGTCTGTATTTCATAAAGTATATATGTGATTTTTTTGTTTATCTTTTTTAAATCAATATTTTATGAAAAAAGTATAACAGATCAGAAAATAATTGCTTATAATCTACCACTTTTCTTGGCTTGTAGAAATATTAATTGCTTATAATCTACCACTTTTCTTGGCTTGTAATTAAGCTAGAAATATGTCTTTTAAAATACATTTCTCATCCATCCTTCAAATTTGGACTCGAATTGAAAAAAAAAAAAAAAATTGGAGTGTAGATTCAGATTCTTCTATTAGACGTGAGCAGGGTTTGAACACAAGCCTATGACGATGGATAAAATGTTCATTCACCTATTTGCCAAGAAATTCTAGTGGGATGAAAAATCCACAAAACAATCCAAAATTTTCAAGTTGTTGACTTGGTTTGCCTATATTATTAGTCTTGGATAATTCTCGAGAACTGTTCAATTGGCGCCAAGTACAATCCTTGTGATGCGATGGAGAAGGCCTAATTGTTAAATGCATCCACCTTATACTACAATTCAATTCAATTCAATTCAATTCAATTGTAATGTTTTTAATTTTTATCATTTTTCATTTTCTTGAATTTTTTAATTTTTTGAGGTTATTTTCGTCTTTTCACGTGTTGCGTGCCAAATACTGTGGCCGGGAGTGTCAGAGAGTTATTTGGAGCATTTCATTGAGTTCAAGATTCTTTGAAATGTAAGGGTTATCATTTTTGCATTTTTTCTTTTTTCGGGCCGGACGGTCTCGTGTGGGATCTGCTACCGTAATTGTTGTATACGGGAATTTTAGTTGAATCAATTTGTATCTCATATATATTTTTTAATGTGTTTATGTGGGTTTTATATGATTGTGTGCATGTATATAATTTTGTGGTGGAAAAATTAGAAGAAAAATTAAAAAAAGGGCAAAAAAAAATGATGGGACCCACCATAATTGCTTTTATTGGCCAAAAGGCCATTATTTGGTCACACCTTATCTCTTTCTCGATCTGGTTCTCTCTCCCTCCTTTCTCTTTTCTTTTTTCTTTTTTTCTTTTGCAAAATTCAAGCTTCAATTTCTCTTTCATTCCTTGGAGTTTTTGGGTGCCGTTTGCGGCAAATCGAAGAGCTCGGTGAGATCTTCAAGTTGATGTAAGCAATTTCAGCTTTTAGCCACTCTAAAAATTCTGAAAATTTGAACCCATTTGAGAGTTTTCTACAAAATTGAGGTAGGGTTGTTCTAATACCCATTTCTTTGAGCTTTGTCAGTAAATCTCCTTTAATTGATGTATGTGATGAGCGCTGAATATATGCATATTCGAGCCCCTAAATACGTATATGTTAAGGCCTAAAATGATACTTCTATCTATAATTTGACTAATTTATGTTTAATGGGTGTTTGTAGGTACTTTCCGAAGTAAATAGTTAAAACTAGGACTTTATGATGATATTGAAGCTTACAGAGTCGTTGCCAGTCATTCAGAGCAAACCGAGAGCTCAAATGGTGAAGTTTGAAGCAATTCAAGCTCCCGAACTCGAGCCCAAGTGTTGAGGCTCGAGCATCACAACAAAGAAGAGAAGAAAAGTCAACAAGGCCTAAATGCTCGAGCCTTGTACCTTGGTGCCCGAGCCTTACCATAGGGTGCTCAAGCCTTAACCAAGGGTGTTCGAGCCTTGGCCCTTAAGCTCAAGCATGAGGCGTCGAAAATTAAAGAGTTGATTTTAATTGAAGGCAATACTCCCAGGTCTCGTGCCTCACCTCCAGGATCAAGCACCATCTATTATGGATCGAACATTATTCACTGATGCTCGAGCCTTGAGCCCCAAATGCTCGAGCCTTAACTAAGGGTGCTCGAGCCTATGAAGCTTGGATCGAGCAATGTTAAAAGAGTTCAGCCCCAAAAATATTCTCTAAGTATTGAAGAAAAAGACACTTTGGAAAATAGTTGAAGAAAATTGGCTAAGTGTCAAAGTGAAGATCGAGCACCATTTATTGTAGCTCGAGCATCCATCCAGAGAGGCTCGAGCCTTATTCCTTATGCTCGAGCATGAACCCTAAAGCGCGAGCCTTTGGTCCTGAAGCTCGAGCCTTCCATGACATGTCAGATTAAAAGTTGAGGGATTGGTCTCTTTACCAGCCGTATCTCATCCCGGTTGGGCCAAAAGACTTAAAAACCCACCAAATACTTATTTTCTTCTATAAAAGAAGGCGTAAACCTTGATAGAAGAGGTCCAAAATTTCAATCTCTTTTGACGGTGTTATTCAGAAGGCTAAAGGTGTGGTGGCTTTTAAGGTTCCTACAACCTTAGAAGTGAAGATCCTGAGAAGAGAAGTGCCGTCTGTGACGATAGAGATGAACTCAACACAGATGATATCCAGCCTTGTCATGAGTAGCTAATTCCTCTCTTAGGGCACTGATGTAACCCAACCTACTATTATGGTTTGATTGTTTTAACTCTGGGATTATTTTAATATATGATTATTTTCTTGATTATATGTCTATGAGCACTTGAGACAACTCAAGTGGTTTTCACGCTTGGATAGATTATAAACTGTTATTCCCTTGTCTTAGATGTAATAATTCATTATCTATTCTCAACCTATATTGTTGTGTGGTATCTGGCGGAGCCCTGCCAGACACTAGAATAGAGGTCATATAATGATACTTTCATGTTTTTCACAAAAGAATGTTTTCATAATCTATACTTAGGAAATGAGGTTCATTCGCAAAGTAGTTAAAGTAGGTAGAGTAGGTAAGCGGATAGTCCACGCTAACCGTAAAAAGGTTATAGTTAAGTAATCTTGTAAACCATCTTTCTTTAAAACCCGAATTGAACGAATGTTATTGAGTTCAATTCTTTTGAAAAATATTATTATTAAATTCCCAGAGTTAGTATAATTAACCATAATATGATGGTTGTGGTGAAGTCAAAGCCCTTAGACTCTCTCTCTGTGTGATCATTTAAATTAGTGTAATTCGCTCTAGTTAAATATTTTGTTATAATTTTAGTTTGTTAAACGTGACAACCAACAAACTTTCCAACCAGGTTACCTGTAAACCATAAAACGAAGTTAAAGACTAATGCAAATCTCATCTCCCTGTGGGTTCGACATCCTCTTTACATAGAGCTATCCTACACGATATCATTCTATTGCGAGTGGTTGATAAGCGCCGAATACTGTATATTCAAGCGCCCTAAATTGCATTAGTTAAGTCCGTTGTTTGTTTAATTCTGTAGATTATCTTCATTTGTGTGTTTTTATGCATTTTCAGGTTTAATTGCAAAAAGGGAGCAAAAATAAGCCCTTGTGGATTTTTGATCAACAATGTGCTCAAAAGCTGAATTTCTGGCAGCAGTGAAGCCCGAACTTTGTTCACCATTTTGACCTACCAAACTCAAGAACTGGACTTCCATCATAACATGAAAGATTTAGAGCTCTGAATTAGCTTTCTAAATCTTCAAACGGTTCATCATTCGGAGCTCGGAGCAGAGAGTTATGGCCTTGTTACCTGAGGTGCGCAGAACTGCCTGGCAGCACTGAAGTACTGCCTTTCTCCCCATTTTTGACCAACCAGACTTGAGATTTGGGTCTTCATTAAAACATAAAGTTTTTAAATCTCTGAATCAGCTCTCCAAATCTTTAAACGGTTTATCATTCAGAGTTCAGAACGCAAAGTTATGGCCATTTCATCAAAGTAGGTCTGGGCAGAGCAAGTGAAGCATGGAGCTTTTTACACTAAATTCGAGTGCTCGAGGCCCTATTTCGAGCACTCGAAATTTGGGCAGTTTGCTCCACGAGACAGCCCACTTGTGCTCTGAAATTTCTAATTTTGGATGGCCCTCTTTTATGAGGTGGTTGGGGATGTTTTTAGAGGAGAGAGAGAGCCTAGTTTGGTGGTAGATAAGAGGGATAAGAGCCACACATATTATTAAGCTTCATTCTACAAGATTAGAGAGAGAGAAGAGAGCAAAAAGAGAGAGTTCTTCAAGCTTGAAGAAGGGAGCACGAAAATGGAGGAGGTCTTCAAGCTTCTTCCTTATTCCATTACTCCTATGGGTAACTAAATCTTCTCTAGGGAGGTGATGAAGCCTCCTCTTTTGATCATGTTCTAGATTAGGCTATACTTTTGGGGACTATAATGTATAATGTATGGTAGTTTCATAGTCTAAGAGCATATTCCTTCTTGTAATGAATTTTAATGTGTAAATGGTTGATGTAAGTTCATTGTCATATCTTTGATGATTCTTGGATCAATCTTATTGCTTTTATTTTCATAGTGACAGTGAAAATATAGACTATGAATGTTTTTCAAGGCATGTTGATTTTGAAACTTGATATTCCATTGCTTAGGTACCTCCTTTGATGGTTTATACTTGATTCCTACCTTCATGTGCTTCACCATTTGATTGAAAGCTTGATGGTCTTTTGCTTGAGATAGTGTATTTGATTCTACACCTAGTTTAAGTTGTTCAACTATGGTAGCTTTTGATGGATCATTCTTGTTTTGATTAAGTGAACTTCTTGATGATTATTAAGCAACGGAGTTGCTTCATATTTCTTGACCATTGCATATATGCTATATATCCCCAAAATTTAGACCTAATCTAGCATGTACTGAGGGTGTAGTGTGGATTCATCTCCCTAGTCTTTTCTACTTGTATCTCACTTCTTCAATTTCATTGCAATCTATTGTTTTATGCATTTTAATTTCTTAGTTTAGTGACA